AATTGATCCTGCAATATTATTTCCTGCACAATTGAAATGTTGTCATCGCCTCAAAAAAAATATCAGCTGAAACCGACAACTAAATAGTTTTTTTTAAAGTAATGATCACTCTTTATTGAACAGCCCTAGTAAATTTTATTATCCAATTTCTCGCCACTTGGGAATTGAACCATGCTGTTACTGGGTGCTCTGACGTCAGCCAACGCTTTCGCACTTTGAGTGGGTGCCAAAACATTGCCAAAACATTGTCTCACCGAGACAATGGTTCTCTGCTAAAACTTTGTAACTTCCAGTTTGACATATTCAGCCGTGGTTGCACCTAGCCGACCATTTGTGGCAAAGGGGATTTAATCATACTCCAAACGGCAAGATTGAAGACAATGGACTTCAATGGGATATGCGAGATGCACACTATGCAAATTCTGGCGACTCCGCAAATGTCTGACAGGCAAGAGAGCAAAAATTCCCCAAATTGTGAAACGCAAGTAAAAAAAAATTCCCTTCGTGGCAACAGCGAGTACTCCGCTGACTAGCAGAAGCCAACAGCACGAAGCGCCGATTCATCGGTGAAAATCACGCCACTTTCCGCCGGGGTCGTTCCGAGGCCGACGAATCCGCGACGCAACGCCCGGCCTGATCATACGTATTACTCGATTTTTCTGCTGGGCCTTTTCCGATTTATCGTTGCGGACATTTCCCAAAGAAGTTTTGCATAGAAACCCGAAATTCATTATCGACTACTTCCACTAGACTCCCCCTTAATTAAAAAAAAAATTATCTGGATAGTTCTGGAATTCATGCAGGATCGAATCACGGTGACCCTCTGGGTAGAGGGTCACCATGGGTCACCAAGGGTCACCAAGGGTCACCTTTGTGAACCTGGCGTCTGCCCAGGCGAAAATCAAATTTCAAATTGAAAACCAGCCGGCAGCGAAGCCACCAGGATTCCCCCCATATGACTCCTCAGCCTCTCTCGTGATCGACGGCTCCTTGTGTCTGGGAACCATTCCGATAAACGACGTCGCTGATTGAACCGCCGGTCAATCCGGATCGACCGAGACGCCCTGAATCCGGCATCAAAATTTCCCCACGCCAGCGATGAGACACTCCTCCAAGAGACGAGGACACCGCCCCTCGGCCCACTTCGAACTCACTGCCGACCTCAAATAATTGAAACCAGCGATTGAACCCAGCAGGTGAATCCAAAAGCAATCATCTTCAATCCAACAAAATAAAAAAAATCGTAAAAGTTCCGGTCACTCCCATGGTAATGGATATTTTAATACGTCACCGATGCTACTTCCTACCGGATAAATATAGAATCGAGCCACCCGGAGCAGATCAAGACAATGTACTGTACAGTACTACAAGTTGAGTACTTCTCTGTACCCAACTCATTCCGACCTAACACCGAGGATCGCCGTGTTTGCTATATTTCGTAATTCAAATTGAATTAGCGAAAATGTTTCTCTGTGTTTCTAGTCAACTGCTGATGCAGCTTACCGGACCTTTCCTTACTTCATAGATTGAGATCTCCAACTCATGAACTCAACATGGGCAGGAGGCATATTTCCATTTCGGTCCAGAGTCTGTTTATGACTGGTCTAAGTCGCATCGAAGCAATTTCGCCGGACGCCCGTTTAGGGCGTCCGGCGAAGGGCGACGGCAATTAAAAGGGTCGCCAAAAAAAAATTCAGAAAGAAGGACACAATGGACAGCTGTAGTTGGCAGGGGTGGAGCAACTAACACTGACCATTGCCTTTACATTTCATGCCACCAACTTCTTTGAGCGGTTTCTTCTGCTACCACTTCTTTATGCGGTACAAAGTATGTAATCAACAGATCACTCAGAATGCCGGGAATCAATTCAAGATTACACATTTTCGGCGATACTTATAAAGCAGGAAATGACAGTTTCTGGTGCTGTGCAATTCCCCATGATCTAGGCCTATGGACCATGTAGATATGGAGAATTAAATTTGCCATAAAACATTGAAATTTAACAGGTGCAAGGAAGTCGATCGCTAAGCATTTATGCAAATAGCCTTCCCCATTAGGAAATTTTGGGGAAATCGCAACCGTTTTGAATTTAAAAGGAAAACTTTGCCTCTTGGACCCGAAGTCCCCCTTTCACAGAAGCGGCAACGTCGACCGACTCACTGTATTTCTTCACAATCCCACTCAGCAGACGCACACACCGAACGCAAGCAATCACAGAGTTATATAATGCTTATTCCGCTCTGCATCAGAGGTAAGGAAGGATGGAAGGAAGATGGGGTAGTAGGGACACGGGATAGGAGGAGGACAGTACTCGAGGAGGACATTACTCGAGGAGGACCACTCGAGGAGGACAGTACTCGAGGAGGACAGTACCCGAGGAGGACAGTACTCGAGGAGGACAGTACTCGAGGAGGACAGTACTCGAGGAGGACAGTACTCGAGGAGGACAGTACTCGAGGAGGACGAAACTCGAGGAGGACGCGAGGAGAACTAAACTCGAGGAAAGCAGAGAACAGTGCGTGGCTGTTGGGTAATGGAGGAAACGTTCCATTATTCCGCGCGTCATCGTGACTAATCGTTCCAGCGAGTCTCGTATGAAGCAAACTCTCGCCGAGTACGTGCCATTTATGAAAGTGCAAGTTGTGCCTTTTCCCCTCTTGTTTCATCATTAAAAGAGAATCACGGTGCTTGCTCATTCATGAATAATTCAACTAAGATCATTTCGATTTTCCAATTTATCCCAGTGCTTTTAAGAGAGGAAAAATAATTGCGGGAACTTGCTCACAATGCGCGTTCGCTTTCCCCAACGACATTCGGCACAAGCCTAGTCCAAATTGGCCCCGATGACTTCGAATCCAGCATAACTTCAACAACAGTGACTAGCGCTTCAAGATCAATAACTTCCAAGATATATAGTTTTTTCAGGGATTGGGCATGCCAAGAGAAAGCGCGCATGATATTTCTCATCTCGTAAAATCAGGATCGTGATGAATGGAGTTCCTGAGTCGTCCAAAGCATGCTCTATCAGTCCCATGTCATGGCTAGTCACCCAGTCCCATGTCATGGCTAGTCAACCAGTCCCATGTCATGGCTGGTCAACCAGTCCCATGTCATGGCTGGTCAACCAGTCCCATGTCATGGCTGGTCAACCAGTCCCATGTCATGGCTGGTCAACCAGTCCCATGTCATGGCTGGTCAACCAGTCCCATCCCGAGGGACTCGCCTTGAAGAATGCGATCCACCCATAGTCTGCTCATTGCTAAACATGGCAACCGATAAGTCGCTTAATTACAGCTGATACTATCATGCAAACAAATAAAAGTAAGCGGTTGAATTTAAGCGCAGATTCGCGAAATGGCTCCAGTAAGAACAGCGATAAACAGTTTAAAGCATTTTTCCCCATACGTGGATTGCAGATAGATATTTTTTTTTTAAATAAATATTTTAGATTTGAAATGGAGGAAAGTGATAATTGAATCACAGGAAAATCACGATGTCCCATCCAGAAGCCAATCGGATGCGAATTTTAATCCACGGTTCGCTAATATCACCACTGGGATTTTTTTGGGGGGAAGGATCATTTAGCACGACTTATGAACGGACGAAATAAAATATGAGAAACATTGGCAAGTCTAAAAACGACCAATTGTGGAAAGGAAATTCTTCACGGACGACATACGAATATGTATATATAATTTGCACATATATAATTTGCTTTCCATATGCATAGTTGTCTCGATCTTGCGATCGCGTTACTTCTCGTTCCAGGGGGAGTAGAGGTTCCTGGTGCTGAAGTCGCGCTGCTTCATCTCGGCGCTGAAGTATTTGATCGTCTTCTGGAGGCCCTCGGACACTTTCACCTGCGACGAAAATTTATATTTTATATTATTAATTTTTACTAAATTAATATTTCGGCCAAAAGTCCCAATTTATAAAAATTAACTGAATTTGGCTGGTATAAAACAATTTCAGATTTTTGGGATTCGGTCTAATCTCTGATAACCTATGTATTTTCTTTTCACTGCATTGGATATGTGTAATTTATTAACTTGTAATAAAATGTCGAATAGAGAGAGGTCGACAGTTCGACTGACGACATTTCTCATTTATTTTTATTTTAATTTCTCGTCTACTGACGGATTTTTTCCCTCGAGATGTTCGAGCCCAACGCTTTGCATTCGGTCACCTTTCGGAGGCACGAATCAGGATGTTTGTTCGCATTTTTACTACGACCCGGTCAGACCAGATTAAAACGAAATAGCAATTCATGGAGAAAATCGAGATGTTCGAGCCCAACGCTTTGCATTCGGTCACCTTTCGGAGGCACGAATCAGGATGTTTGTTCGCATTTTTACTACGACCCGGTCAGACCAGATTAAAACGAAATAGCAATTCATGGAAAAAAAAACGCCTGGAAAATAATTAAGGGAGCGCTGGGCTGACTCACCCTGGGCTTCCAGCCGAGGACCTTCCACGCGAGGGAGATGTCTGGCTTCCTCCTCGTGGGATCGTCCCGAACGCCGTCGACGAGCTTGATCTCGCTCTTGGAGCCGGTCATCTTCTTGATCAGCTGGGCGAATTCGCCGATCTCGTATTCGTCTGGGTTGCCCAGATTCACGGGCATGGTGTAGCTGCTGTTCATGAGGCGCAGAAGCCCGTCGACCAGGTCTGACACGTACTGGAAGCTCCTCGTGTTGTTTCCCTTGCCGTAGATCTAAATTGGGTTCAAAATGTCATGCCCAAAGAACTTCATTGAAATTATGAGAATAGTGCCGCTATTTTTTTTTTCAAAGAGAAAGGACTTGTTGATACATGGGGTACTTACGATCGCTATGGTAGACCTACAAGAGGGTACACGATAAACGCTGCAAAAGTGAACATGAATAAACCTAGTGATCGCCATGATTGTTATTGGCATCGTTATTAAATACTAATCTACTTCTATTTTGGGCTTTCTACGCTAAAAAAACCTACACGAACCAGAGACTTAAGTCACAGCATCTCATCGTGCTCTCCATGAAGAGCATTGAAATGTGCGGTTTATATAATGAAAATATTATAGGATTCCTGTAGGATTCCAAAAAGTATACTACATTATTCTATAAGAACTCCATAGTATTCCTATAGGATCCTATAATACATTTTTTTTTAAAGGGATTCAGCGCCGACTCCGCTCCATCAATATCACCATTTTCGCTTGGTTTTGCCTAGATAATTGGTCGCAGAGGCGACAAACGAACCGTGATGGGAGCGTCGCCGAGAGCCTGGAGGATGAAGTTGGACACGACTCTGCCATCCTGCACGCTCATCCTGGGACCGAAGGTGTTGAAGATCCGGGCGATGCGGACGTCCACATTCTNGCTCATCCTGGGACCGAAGGTGTTGAAGATCCGGGCGATGCGGACGTCCACATTCTCGCGATCCCTGTAGGCCATGCAGAGCGTCTCTCCCAGACGCTTCGATTCGTCGTAGCACGATCGCGGTCCTGTTGGATGATATTCCATGTCAAATCGTTGTGAAATGACGCTCTCTGGATGGGGGCCTTTGCCTTAAGCATGTTGCTCTTTCCATGATCCCTTTCCATGCAAGTTGAGCTTGGACAGCCTCATCGCATTGAGTTAACAGAAGGTGTCCATTACAGCATGGTAATTGAAATCGTGCGGGTAAACTCTAGCGCGTGTGGCCTGGGCTGCAAGTTTTCCTGCATGTTTTGAGGAGGATTTTACCTAATCCAAGATAATCATAGCATACCCTCGTCCCACTGGAGCGTTCTTTTGCCACTTCGATATGAAAAGTCTGAAAATAGTCTCTGCGTCGTAATATCAAATCACAAGTTGGATGAAATGCACTAAAAAGGCCACGAGAGTCGCTAAGGAAAAAACGTGAATTCTTGCACGCTGAACTATGCCAGAGGAAAAGAATCAGTCGAAGTGAAAGGTAAGGAGGAATTTCCCTTTTTGGCTGAAAGTAACGGGTACAATTTGCATGGATATGTCAATTTGCATACGACAAATGCATTCGCATGCTTGCCAACATAGAAATGCAAATTACAGTTCGTCGATTGAACATTCGACCGGACGAACAATGCTTGCAATATATTAAATATTAAATGAGGGGTGCCCAAATCGTATGCTTTATGATAGGACGAGGTGCTGAGGGAGGATTATAGAATGCACGATTTTTCCTGGCTGTTAAGGGTTAAAGCGTCCCAATTCAATTTGCTTTTAATGAAATCATTCATCTACGATGCTGCGTGTCGCATGCGTTCTGCACGTGATATCTCTCGCAAACGCCATGTACTTTTTTATTATCAAGAGTTTATCCATTTCCTGGGGGAAACAGCCCTTTTTCGCTCCTATACCAGCGGCATTGGCACTCTGGGCCGGCTGGTCTTTCACAATGCACATAACTATGCGACGGTCCCTGTGGCATCCATGGTAACTATGGGATCTATGGTAACGATCAACGATGCAGAAATGATGCAGAAATACAGCGATCCGTGCCAATGATGAAAGCAGTGGTTTCTTCTTCCAGCATCAGAAATTTACAGAATTTACAGAAGGAACTTCTCCATTAGCCTTCACAATGAGAATTAATTGGTACTTAATTGGCAATTACATTGCTGATTTCAGGAACAAGGAGCGAATGCTATCGGTTGGGTATGGAGCGACGTGAGCATGCATCACGTACGCGTTACGTTATCTCACATAATCCGCCGCAGGTCGTGGAGGACGTGACCTTGGCAGAAACAAACAGGAAACAGAAGTCTGATGGCGAATTTGGGAGGATGTTCAGCGTCATGAGCGATATACATGGGCTGTGCATGATCCGCTTCTACCAATCATTGGGGCTTACGAGAAGCAGATCGTCCTGGAATGTTTTTAAAGGGTCAAGAAGTGAATTTAAAAAAAAAAATCATGTTTAAAATGGAAATAAAAATTAAATACCATCATGGCTAGGTATTCATTTCTAGTCGGGGAGAAAAACAGGTCACCCTTTGCCCCGACAATTTATCGAAGAGAATAATTAGATGTTAGGAAGCAACTAGTCAATGGAAGAGGATGGATGCGTTCATGAGTGATTCATGTGTTTCATGAGTGATTCATGTGATTCATGAGTCACCCCGTAGTCCCGCCCCATTGTGTCTTTCCGGCATGTTAAGTATGGCCATTGCTGTGTTCGTCGATGAATTATTCCCTGAGTTTTCGGACTCCAGGAATTTATGGTTTGGTCTCGTATGCATTTGTAAGTAAAGAGCACATTATGGTATTTAATCATTATAAACTCCGAAATTCGTATCACAATTTTCGATGTATTTGAGTCTGCTTCATGCTGCAAAAAAAGTACATTTTTGTGCTGACTTCAGAGAACATGAATAGGTGAGATCCTTGCATTTCATCGAGATTAGGTCGATGGAGATATAAAAATCATCGGACACGAAGAAGCCTCATTACCCATTCTTCCGCTTAATAATCGGGGCTGAGGCTAAAAGAAAACCTTTCACCATTAACATTACCGGTTCTCTTAACCGCGTCCATAGTGGGAAATCCATTGCCGCTTAAGTTTGATCATTACCTCCATACGTTTTTCTCTCAGATACTATTTGGCGGACCACCAATGTCGAGAATGTCGGCTTGCCATTGCTGTAGATGAGATGCCGATGAGCGGCGAAATGAGAAGTGTATTGAATGAGATGAAAATAGGAACATATGGTAGATCCTTCCGCTAAGGCAGCATATCAGAGGATTTAAATAAATTATGGAAACTTGGTTATAGTGGCGATTCAAAAGTATATGCATCAGACTGTTTCAACTCATGCAATTCACGGGTACCTCTGTCATGGCCTAGATGGCGAGATTGTCGCTCCGAGCTTCCATACAGTACTCGCTAACGAGGTTATTACATCACCCTGCGAACTTTATAAAGATGCATATCGTAGATGCCTTCAAGTTAAGAGCAGACATTATGGTAAGGGTCCATTGCGGCCTATCCCAATAAAACATTCGATTCGCAAATCCTTAAACCATGGATTTCCCATAGAGCGCGTCCGTATGCTTAGGCTTAGACTCGGCGAAGTCAAACTTCTGAGTGAGAAATTCCACTCGAGGAATTCTGAAAAACACCATCGTCCTCCTTGCTGTATCAGCTCGTAGAACGACCTTTCCTCTCCACAGCGCGTTCTCAAGCCAGGCCTTATCCCACCCTCGAGGCACAGTATGAAGCCGGTTCTCCCTCTATGCCTTCGAGGGAGAAGCTTCACAGACGAAGACTTCATTAAGCCCGCGATCGTCCAAGTCATTCAACACTTTTCTTCATCTTTGGATCTTTAGGAAGCCTCTGAGGATTCCCAAGTAGCTTACTGTTATGCTTTTGTGTCGGTTGCAGATTAGGGTCTCGAACTGTTTGGGTCTTTCCATGTCAAACGAATTAAATGAAGAAAATTGACCTGAACCTACTTCGACTTCCAACTTTTTCTCACGGAACAGTTGCAAGAAGCGCATTTTCTCGAGTCTTTTTTGATCCAACGAAACAGAGAGCGATAGAAAGTTGAAACTTGGCGCAGAAGTACCTTTGCTGACTCCTGAGTGAGACAAAGACAAAAGTAAGACAAAAGTAAGACAAAAGTAAGACAAAAGTAAGACAAAAGTAAGACAAAAGTAAGACAAAAGTAAGACAAAATTTAAGATAAAATTTAAGATAAAAGTGCATTAGTCGAGATTTAAAAAAGCACCAATGCCATGACAAAACACGACAATGCGACCAGATTTCGGTACTGTCAGTCAATATTCACATCGCAGTGCCTCGAGAAATGCGTAATTTGGGGAGCTTATATTTGGCATGGATCAGTTTATCCCTAGGCTCTAGAGGCTCAGCAAATTGCAATTTGAAATGGCAATTTCCCGAAAATCCAGGGAAAAACATTTCCTTCCTTTCCAAGCAGAGTTGGCCCAGTTACGCGAAAACTGCGGTATCTCTGAATCGACTGAACGTAGGAGGTTTCTTGCCCAGGCCGGCATGACCTAGGGCTCTCGACCCAAAACGCTACGCCTTCATATGGGCTAGGCAGAGGGACTCATTCAATTCGAGTCCATCCTGAACTCCAATTGAATCGACGCCTCCTCGTCCTCGTCGAACTCGTCCACGTTCGCTCTCATCGCGTGACAGGAAGGTTGCGCATAGTCGAACGGGCGGATTCCCTTATTGATTCCCTTATTGCCCTGATCTAAAAAAAAATAATTGAACCAAATGGAGGGCAGGGGATATTTGTTGAGTGGAGAAACCCGAATTCATCGATCCTGGAAACTGACAAGAACCCCCAAAAGGTTGAATTTCGGGCAGTTGCTAATAGGAATTCATGCAAAATCTCCGCAAATACCCTCATATTGTTCAAGTAATTGGCCTGAAAAAAAAATTGTGAGGCGATCCCCAAAACGAGAGGGCATTGCACATACCGACTGGGTTGACATTGCCCCAATATTCCTCCGTCTGAGGGTGGACCTGCGGGTCGCCGTACACCTCGGATGTGCTCGTGAACAGGAATCTCGCCTTATTCCGTCGAGCCAAGTCTGAGAAAACCATTACCAATGTGGTGAATCATATGGTAAATAACGGTAATAATTAATTGATGCGAATCCTTCACTCTCACCCAGCATATTCCTGGTCCCCTCGGTATTGGCCATGATGGTCTTGATCGGATCCTTCATGTATTGCGGCGGGGAGGCGGGGCTGGCCAGGTGGTAAATTTCATCCACCTGTTTATAACAAAAGCATACCGATGAATCGCTCAAAAGGGCAAAAGAATACGACATCCTCCAACTCCAATACGACAAGAAAACAGAGGAAATAGTAAGGGAACCCAAAAACATGTATTGTAATTTAAGAACATTTATTGCCATCTAAGAACATTTTCGCCATGTCCAGCGAATCGACCAAGTCTGATAACAATCACAATGAGCTTCCAAAAACGTTCCCGATCTGAGTCACTTCCGCCCGAAACAGAGCATTCTCGTGAGAAGACGTTTGCCTTAAAAGGTTAGGAAAAAAAGGTTAAAAAGGTCAGTCCTACCATATTTGGTGTTCGTAGCAGTTACGAACTGACCTCAGAGGGTCAGTTTAGTGCGCCCCCTAATCCGCTCGATCTGCTGCGTGATGCAAAAAAAAACGAGAAAATGATGACAGATTTCGACTCAATTTTTTAAATGACAACTTTCAACTCAATTGTTTATGACAGACTTCGACTCAATTTGTTCAATGACAGCCTTCGAATCAATATTTTATATGACAGTCTTCGACTCAATTTTTTAAATGACAGCCTTCGAATCAATTTTTTTATATGACAGCCTTCGACTCAATTTGTTAAATGACAGCCTTCGAATCAATTGTTATGTTCCTTAAGCAGATCCTTTAATGGCTCCCTGAAACGCTCTGTCAGCCACCTGCAATGGCATTTGTCTTCCCGTGAGAATAGCAACAAAGGTCCATTACGGTCGGAAATGCCTCTGGCCAGAAACCTATTTTGTCTGCAATAAATAATAATAATACAATAAATAATAAATAATAAGAATAATACCGCAAAATCTCTCCGAGTCGATTAAACGATTCGTAAAGAACTCCTGCCATGACTGCACATGCAAGTCCTGCAGAACGGAAAAGTTATACATTGCAGTACTATTTATCATTCATTTTAGGTTATTATTTATTACTCATTTCACACTTACTCATTATTATATTTTTATATTTCATTTTTTTTTAAAAACTATTAGTGGAAACTTCCATCGATTGAGATACTGCTCACCATTAATACCGAGCACCGCAAGCTGCCATCGAGCCATGCGTTATTCAATCAGCGCTCTGATGCGACTCGGGAGCTCTGAGAGCCAAAAAGATGTGCGCAGGACGGTTCCCAGTAACTAAAAATGCCATATCTTCAGCGGCCATCTGCATTTCCCTCCACGATCGGCGAGAAAATGTGCATCATTCGTTAAACGGAAGCGGGGGTTGAGGAAATCCTCGCCCGTGGACTCCTGCACTTCCCGGTTCGACCGTTTCCCCACGATTTGGAAACATCCGCTTCATCCGCGGTCAGGAGAAGAACATGCCGCGAAACACGAAAATGGGAGGAGGCCAGTGCAGGATGACCGAAATGCACTGGAGTTGAATAGGGTATAGGGCAACTTGGGGGAATTTGGCCGTTGGGGGAATATGGCCGTTGGGGGAATGTGGCCGCTGGGGAAATGTGGCCGCTGGGGGAATATGGCCGTTGGGGGAATATGGCCGCTGGGGGAATATGGCCTCTGGGGGAATATGGTCCTTCACAATGGAAGCTCCCACCAGATTGATTAATCAGGTCCTACTCTTACTTCACCCCAGAGGCACCTGTTCACTTTGATCACTGTGTTCGATGACTCATCTTAAAAAAAACCCACAGTCTCTAGATAGTCTGCTTTTCACAGCAGGTCCGATTCAGGTAATGGGTTTCCTAGCTTAATGTATTTCTTTTTCAACTGATGAGCCACCTTTGTTATGTTTCAAGGTGCTCATCAGGTTCCAGCATGTTTCGCACGTACCTCAAAAACCGCGGGTGTTTTTTTTGTGGGAGGAATTGGCCGTATTCCGCCAACAATATGGCCTCTTGAGGCCAACTTGGGAACGATCCATGCACATTTTTTGCACATACCTTCCCGGGAATTGGTAAAATTGGCATCGAGCAAAACTTTAGCAACATTGTAAAAGTCAAATTCGACCTTGATGGGCCGTTCGGACCAGGTTTCAATGTTTAGGGAAATATTCCCCCAAAATTTCCTTCGCATCCATTTTAAAAAAAAGGGAAACGGAATGCCAATAAAGGCAACCGCGATTATAGCGACGATTTTTCCCTTGTCCCTTCGTTACGACCGAGTTCAACTGTGATCCATAAAACCAATGAATGCATTGTTCGCGTGCAGCCGTGCGAAAACTCTGCCCTTGCAAAAATATTCTGATAACCTCCACAGCGAGGCTATTGGCATCGAATGGCCAAGTGCCATTTTTCACTGGTTTGCAGCCTGGCAAAGTGCAGAGATGCCCCCAGGAAGCATGCAATTGCGATGGCTACGCCGCAACATGCAACTGACATGGAACTTGAGCGCTTGAGATAAATGTCATGATGAACGAGAGAGAGAGAAAGAGAGAAGAGGACCACGCCGTATTTTCAACGCCAGCCCGATGCAATCGCGCATCTGACTCGTCGGCGCGGTTCGCCCGAATGCGAGCGCTTTTAGGACGCTGGAATCCCTTCAAGGATGCAAGGCGTCGCTCGGGCGGGAGGCGGATGCTCTCGAAAGACCCGCAGGGTAGTGAACCTACAGCGATGCATAGTGGCGATGTCGTGATGCCACGAGCTGCCTTCTACTTGCGTGCCCACTTAATAAACTGTTAATAAACTCGTATTGGTCAGGACAGGATGACCGAGCATGATCGTGGGGCTAAAATGAGTCTACTGCATTTAATGGGCGCTCGATGTATACATTTAGCAGGACAACGCCCTCCGCCAGGATGCGCATATTCATTGTTTGGGCACGTTGATACCATGGCATCAACTTGCTGCCATAGCATGCTTAGAGCCCAGACACAACCCGATTGAACTCCTGTGCGACCAACTGGAGTACCGACTTCGAAAGCATATCCCACATCCCTTTTGTCCGCATTTAATCTTCGTTGCTATCTGAAATCATTCTGAGCCTGTTAATACCACGACTCCCCATTCTGCATGGGGTCTGATGAAATTCCTTTTTAATGCATGGCAATACCACTTAGAAAAAAATCTGACTACGGCCGTACCGCCGGCAAACTCATCTAGACTCTAATTTATTTTAGTCGATATCAACGGGAGAACCATATTTGAGAATTTGAGCACAATTGCAATCCATCCTCTATCAGTCCCAAGCCGCAGCAAAGAAGCAAAAAGCGATCTCACCTCCAGGAAAATGGGCTCCACGGCGTCGTGGAGGAGGAATCGGAAATTGGGATGTCCCAGCCAGTGCTCGATGTTCCGCCTCTTCCCCGTGATGAGGTTGTCCAACGCGATCACGTTGTGTCCATCCTTGATGAGGCGGTCGACCAGGTGGCTGCCGACGAAGCCGGCGCCGCCCGTCACCTGCGCGGTCGCGGTGGGAATGACCTCTCAGTATTCAGGCGAAAATATGCAATTCCATTTTTTAGCATTAGGACACGCAGTATTAGTTTCTTTTTCCTGCCAGTTTCGTTTCTTGAAGTTCTTTTTTGTCTATTTACTAAAAAGAGCATTTCTTTGGAGCACGAATTAAATATATCCATCATTTAAATATAGTGATACATTGCATAAACTGCATACGATAATAACAAAAAAATCAATTTAATCGATCGTCATCAAGATGAAGTGCCACGGAGGAAATCTCTGTACAACCCTAAGCAAAATCTCGTCTGGAACCAGTGACTTTATTTCCACCGCTCGACGATTAATTTGGTTAATAATGACCTTGGTTAATAATGACCTTGGTTAATAATGACCTTGGTTAATAATGACCTTGGTTAATAATGACCTTGGTTAATAATGACCTTGGTTAATAATGACCTTGGTTAATAATGACCTCTATAGAAAAAAAAGCATTTTATTAATAGAATACGGGGAATATATATATCGTGAGCGAACCTTAGTTTAGTCTTAATCCAGACTCCTTATCTTCAATAGCAAACATGCAACTTACACAAATTACATTCATAATTTGTGCATTGTTTCATGTAAGCTTCTATCGTCATTTTTTTTAATGCAAGAATAGAGCATATTTAAACTCGTGGTGCAGTCTGCTGCGAATTAACCACTGAAGTAATCCAGCCTTTTATCAAAAACGACAGGTCATATGGTCTGCCGATGTAACTATAGATTGGCCTCGAACTGCAGACATTTATCCGGCAACTAAGTAGGCCCAGATATATCTGGACGAAATGAGTGTGAAATATTTTGGGAAAGCCGAAGGGACAGCTGAGATGCTCACCAGTATCCTCTTCTGATCCACCTCGCGACGAAAGGCGACGACCCCCTCGATCCTGCCCGAACCGGTCGACCGCCCCGCCGGACCCATTGGCACCGCCGGACCCATTGGCACCGCCCGGGCGTGTTGCGGGAACAGCGCCAGCATGAACATCACGATCACCACGATGGCCATCACGTAGCCGGTGAACGTGGAGCGGGAGGGCATGGACGTGTTGAACGACTGGGCGAATTCCTTCCAGTCGGGTGGCTGTGAAGGTTGGAGAGCGTGAGCGTGAGCGTGAGCGAAGGGTTCGCTAGAAAAATCTTACAAGAGACTCGCTCATGGTGGAAAAAAAAGTCTATTACATGTGTAAAATATTTACATATGATGCATATGTTTTGTTTATTTAAATGTATAAGCGTCTGATAATATGATATCTGGTAGACAGCCTCATGGAGTTGCGTTCTTCTGTTGCAGGCAAACAACGGCAGAGGTATCGACGGGGCCAAGAATATTCATCGTTGAGGATCGCGCTGAGACCAAGTCCGTCACGCGTGCGCAAGCGGACGCAGGAGGACAACGCGGACGATGGAGGCAATTCAGGGCGACGGCGAACCAACGGCACTTGGTCGAAGGCGTGTCGATTCCCGTCGCTGAATTTGATTGATTGTCTCATCTTGACAGAAATTTTTACAGAACGAGTTCGGTTACATCTCTTCAATTATTATTCCGGATTTTCCTAATCAGGAGTCTCACTAGAATCCTCGAGGCATTAGGGGATACTCATAACGAGCGGATGAGAATATTTCTTGAAAAATGATGCAAAAAATACGTTTCCAATGAACACCCACAAAACCTCCCTAACCCACGAAACCTCCCTAACCCGCAAAACCTTCTAAACTCACAAACCTACCTAACCCACAAAACCTCCCTAACCCACAAAGCCTCCCTAACCCACAAAACCTCAAAAATGTACAAACCTTCCAATTCCACAAAACCTCCCAAACTCACAAAACCTCCCAAATTCATTAACCTCCCAAACTCACAAACCTCCCACACCCACCTGCTTCTCATCTCCCAGCGCGCCAAGCAGCGCCGCGTCATCATCAGAGGCATCATCCTTCTCCTCCTCGGCGTTCTCGACCGGTTCGGGCTGGCTCTCCAGCACCACGGAATGGGAAGGGACGGAAGAGACCATTCTCTGGGGAGGCTGCTCCGCTTCGTGCGAAGAAATCCCGTGCGGAGCAATCCCGTGCGGAGCAATCCCGTGCCTGGGGAATGTCAGCGTGGAATGCGATGCAGCGAGCGATTTCGCGATAGGTTCGTGGCGACGATGCCGTGTCCGAGGGAAGTGTATGAATACGTGTAATGTTTTTCATTGATGATGTAATATCGAGAGCCTCACATATAATGGTAGCCATTATATGTGAGGCTCTCGGCTTCCAGAAACCATGTGTGAGGCTTAGGCAGAAATATCAGGAATGTTTTTCTTTTCCTTCGGCATTCCGCCAATTTGAATCGTCATTCCCAAAGCGCACGCAGAGAGCCGAAAATGTCTGCCGCAACACGATATTCCAGATTAAAATTAGGCTGATGCGACTGATCCAATCTCCTGCATCATGCATGAGAATCATGGATGTAATTTAATACAAATAACAAAAATTGCATATTCCTGATTCCAATCGACTCTCGTTAATTGGAGTACCTTCAATATGGCATGTTGTATCTCCGCAAATAAATTGAAGAAAAAAATGAGTATGTTTCTGCCAGAATAAATTGAAGTTTTTTTTTCAATTTGTTTCGCGAAATTTTTAGAGAAAAATGGAAACGCACGGAATCTGGCACGGAATTCCGGATTTTTACGTGTCAGCTTCTGCGCCTTCTTGGGGGAAGTGCGTGCCGGCAGCGATAGCTTACGCGATGAATGACACCGCAGAAGTTGTTTACCGCGATCAATCGCGAATGCACTGGAGCCCGCTTGCGTCGGGGGGACCGGTACTATTTTTAGCTATGTGTACTAGAGTACGAGTACTACTTTGCGACGAGTACTTTGTGCGCATGCTCTCGCCTACTCGCTGTGAGAACTACGAATAATTATGTAATTGCTTTTAATTAATTTTAAAATGATCGCATTGTTCTATCAATTTTCGCATAATGGCAGTGTAAATTGCGCATTGCGTCGTTGAATTGAATCGAGAGCGAGGAGCACATTAGACGGGGCACGGAGCACATTAGACAGGGCACGGAGCACATTAGACGGGGCATGGAGCACATTTCACGGGGCACGGAGCACATTCAAGAAGGCACGGAGCACATCTCGAGCAGAGCACGTCCGACCCGATGGAGCACTGAAGTCACCGCTCAGTCTCGCGCAACCGTGACTCCTCGCTTCTGCCCGGCTCCCAGCGGATGACGGCGCGGATGACGGCGCGGATAGCAGAGGAGGAAAGAAATACGGAGAAACGGATACCGTCATCGCAAGCGACTCGAACCTCCTCGGCGGCTCGCCCCGCCGAGGGAAGCACCGCTCCGCTGGATGATGCACGCCGCCGCCCTCTTCGGCGAGGAATTCCGCCGAGAAATCACGAGAATATGAGGGATATCTAGTGGGACGAATATCTAGTGGGACGAATATCTAGTGGGACGAATATCTAGTGGGACGAATATCTAGTGGGACGAATATCTAGTGGGACGAATATCTAGTGGGACGAATATCTAGTGGGACGAATATCTAGTGGGACGAATATCTAGTGGGATGCAGCAAGCGTTCGCTACGTCCTCCCGACATCGTGGCGCCCGTGAATGATGCTAAATTTGCTCACGAAAGTTCAATTTACAGAACCTTCCCGCACGACCCGCACCGACGTCCGGGCAAATGTTTGGGCAAATGTCCGGGCAAGTGTCCGGGCAAGTGTCCGGGCAAGTGTCCGGGCAAGTGTCCGGGCAAGTGTCCGTTTTGCCTGGGAGAATTTGCCTTCAAATATCGGCTTCCAGTATCGGAAGAAACTTGATGAAAGTCCATCTTCGCTTAATACATGTTTACGAGCTTGCGATTCGCATGTCGTCACCGTGTCGCTTCAGTTCAATATAGTTATGACTTTTTAGGAAAAGAAAAATTGGTCCAATTCTAAAGCAATTATTGACATAATATGTACTTCCACATTTTATTATGCAATTGCATTGAACGTTTATATTGCAGGTCAACCTGGAAGCAAAAACGGTGCAAAATTCTATCGACCCTTGAGAATGTGCTAATTTTTAATTTAATTTAATTTAATTTTAAATGTGCCTTTCACGTGGGACTCGCGTCACTTCAGTTCTGAGGACTGGCGAGGACTGGTGAGCCATTGGCGGACTTGGGTCGCCGGGCTCGGTTGTTTCACCTTCGCGGCCGGCGTGAAGGTGACAGTCGCTGACGGTGACTGTTGCTGACGGTGACTGTTGCTGAAGGTGACACTGGAGAGGAAGGAATGTCGGGTCGAGAATTCCCAGCATCATCTTGTTCGTCGTATTCCCGTGGTGGCAGCAGCGAACGGTTACTTAACCGCGTGGTTATTGTGCGAAATTATTACTTATTTTATTTCAGTCATTTCTTGATAGGTGGCACGCATAAAAAGAAAACGCTTCTTTTATTTTCATAATACGCCATCAATACAACACTAGTAACTTTATTTTAAAAAATACATAGTGAAACGAATGTCGGCCTTTTCCCAGGAATCGAAGCTGTCCAACTTACCACAGCGCCAAAAAGGAAGCAATGGACGCAAAAGGACGCAAAAGGACGCAAAAGGACGCAAAAGAAAGTTCGTGCCTGGCGGAGGATGACGCCGCCGCTATTCGAAATGTGCTTCATCATTTTCAGGGCGAATCGGTTTGCCTGCAGTCGAGCCGGGTCCCTGCGATCATGGCAGCTATGGCGGACGGCTTCTCGGCGACTCGATTCCGACCTGTATTGACTGCTAAGCAATGACACGTATGAGGAGTGACAAGAGCTTACAGAAATCTGACTGTAGTCGATGTTGGACTCCCAGAATTGAGGTGGAAGCCCCTCGTAATACCTGGCCTCACGTGGCACTAGGCCTTGTATGGCACCATGCCTCACGTGGCACTAGGCCTTGTATGGCATCATGCCTCACGTGGCACTAGGCCTTGTATGGCATCATGCCTCACTTGGCACTAGACCTTATATGGCATCATGCCTCACGTGGCACTAGGCCTTGTATGGCATCATGCCTCACGTGGCACTAGGCCTTGTATGGCATCATACCTCACTTGGCACTAGATCTTATATGGCACCATGCCTCACGTGGCACTAGGCCTTGTATGGCATCATGCCTCACGTGGCACTAGGCCTTGTATGGCACCATGCCCCACGTGGCACTAGGCCTTGTATGGCATCATGCCTCATGTGGCACTACGCCTAAAGCCCTGTGACGCTTATGAGGCAATCTGCTCGCCGTCTAGTCTGGGAAATTTCGTTATGAAGGCATACATTTTTTTACCAATTTCACTATTCGCTGGAGTATTTGATCGTTACATTTTTTGCTACCTGAAGTTCAATATGAAATTCTGTGGTCGAATCCTTGAGACGTCGGCTCCACGACATCGAATTATTCGCCTGTATTTCAACAGGCCACATCAAGTGATTTCTAAGGTTCGAAAAAGCATTTAAATCATCGTCGCCTGATGTCAGAATTCAGCGCTTTCCCGTCTGATTCGCTGAAGAGAAAAAAAAATTAAAAACTCCCGTCGGCCCCTCCAACTCGGTATTCCACGAATCTCGTGGATTTCGGCTTTCATGAGACTTTTCGGCTTCTCAGCCTTGCCTATTCTAATGCTGGTTTCCTGGCTAGGAAAATTCCTCGTCGGAGTCTGAGTCATATTGCAGTGCCGTTTTTCCGACGCGTTTTCAATCGTTTCTTATCTTGTATATACTATATATATATATATATATATATATATATATATATATGAAATGCATGTCAAGTCAAAACATTGAACAAAACCATCAAGATTGCCAACATACAGTTCATGCCGTTGTGGGGCATCTTCGCAAGTCCATTCGCCATGGTGGCATTAATATATAATATATTTATAGCAAAAAAAAACAAATTACATTAAATTGCATTGTGGAGTCAGGGAATATCCACCAAAATTGGTATGAATTCCTAACAAGCTGGACAGCAGATAATTGAATTTTTTAAAATCTTGTTCTCTTTCGGAACTGTGAAGTCGCTTCCTTCAACACACTTCCTCATGCCGTCCTGTTTCTTTTGCAGCTCTTCCTGTTATCCTCTCGGCTACGAAAGGGACTCATCGGCAGAACTTGCTTCGAAATGTATCGAACGCTCGAATGCCGAGGAATGCCAGCTACATCAGTGCAACCAAACTTTCCATGGCCTTCTCTTTCATCAAGGGGAAGGGCGATGCTCAGGGGGGAACTTTCCTGGGGAACTGTAGTGTCTGGGATGGGATAGAGAGGGGGAGGAATGGAGGTTGGATTCGGTGGTGCAGTGTTGGGACGCCTGAGCGGCGACCAGGAGGCACGGGTTCGATTCCCGACCCTGCCCCCTTTTTCTTTTCGTCCTCTCGTGACATTCATCTCTATCCTCCCGGCCACCTGCATTACAGTGCCGGAGGGTGATTCCATTGCTGGATCGCTACAGTGGGTAGTAACTAATATTCTTTCGAGCAAGGTGTCATTTCGTATTTGCGACACCCAGCTCGGTAACTTAAAGGAAACCATAAAGTTCCCCTATTTGGCATTCGCGAAATATTGAAATATTAAATTTCCCAGTTCAACGACAGGTACTTCAGATAGTATACATATATTCTGCGTCAGTAATTGAAAGTCGGAGACAAGAGTCAATCTTTTATCAATATATATATACTGTATATATATATACGAAGCTAGATACAAAAGCCGAAGACGTCGCGGAGGACGGCTTCAAGACGTCCTCTTGACGTCCTAGAAATCACCTTGGCGGAAGTCCAGGGAGGCCCGAGGGGGGAGGCAGCGGGCTCGGTCCACCCACCGACGTCTGGACCGTCGACTTCGTCGGGGTCAGGCTGCCGCCGCGTATCGTCGCCGCGACCGTTATCTCCCTCGCGTCCATATTTTTTGGACCATATATGGAAATCCCCAACGCGAGGCACTTTTTGAGAGATTCCAGTTTTTATTCTTCCTCTCCTATTCGTCGCACGTGCAACAAATAAATTTAAAGGTTTGAAGAGAATATGACTAAGAGAGTCATCCGCACGACTCTCTTAGTCATGACTTCCTCGAGGGAAACGCGAAGTCACGATGTTGACTCGAAAGCGGTCGCATCTCAAAGTCGCCTAGATTAACCGTCGGCGTCAACACGGGCAAACAAATATATATTGGGAAATGGTCTCCACATGCATCTCCTTCAGTGTCCTTCATTCATTGTCCTTAAGGACTTGAACTGCACGACGCGGATGATCGTTTCAATTTGTTTCCGGTTTGTGACCTTGACCTGCCAAATTGTCGGAAGTTCGCCCATAAAATCCTCTGAAAAGAAATTTTTTATTTATTGAGATGGAATCCATAAAAAAGGACCAGAAGTACAACGCAACAATCAGATTCCAATATTTGTCATACATTTCACGTATAATGGCCCACGTAGCACACCATCGGTGAATCGACATTGGCCAGCCAATGTCGATTCGATATTGGAATTTTCAGTGAAAATTAATCATCATGAAATTAATTTTCTTAAGGCGACGTTGAATCTCAACGTTCGCATGAGACAAGTCTCAACAGGTCCTGCAACCAGTGCGCATGCGCCATATTATATTATCATATTATCATAATTATTACTTCATAAATACTTCATCACGTCGAATATGTATAGGAAATCCAATGCCTTCCCCGGCGTTGTGTGTGGAGAAAATTTCGAACGCTGTTCTGAATTTACTTGGGGGGCGTGACGACCGCTTGCGTGAGGTGATTTCGCTTCGTTGGCGAGTTGTCGCCATCGCACGTCGGGGTCGGGAAGTATTGTTTGCTCCCATTTCTCGCCAGATGTCTCGCCCGACGTCTGCTGATGTGAGGTTGAACGGACGATGCCCTCGCGATATTGCTCTTTTCAATATCGACTCAATGCAGACTCCAGTTTGAAACATTGATTCCAAATTGAATTGTCATTTTGGGAAGCCTGTAGACGAAGCTGTCGTTGTGCAGTGTTTTCACGTTTGTCTCTTCTTCGGATAACCTATAGTGCTGCGATACGTGGTAAATGAATTTACCATACACATGTATTCGTGTTAAACAACAAAAAAAAAACATTCAAGTGGGAAACGCTCTATATACACCATCAACTTCGTTCTTACTGGTCAAAGTGGACATGGGAAATCTGAAATCCAGGATTCTCGCTAGCATGAAGTTATCAGCAGATCCTTGAAGCTCAGACGCCGACGGTGACAATGCTCCGTCACAGCAGATCCTTGAAGCTCAGACGCCGACGGTGACCGTGCTCCGTCACGGCAGAGAGGCAGCCTCCATGAGGCTCCCCCTTTTCATTTCCCGAAATGGTTTCCAGCGTTGAACAAATTCCCTTCCCAGTATGCATTTCATCGTCGCAAAGTTTTCAGAAAGTTTTCCGATAGCGTGGGAGACGTCCCATTAGTTTCAGGAATTTGATTCGAGAAATTCTGATCGTAGGACTATTGTCGATTTAATAAATATTATGGTAATTTCCATTAAATTATGAGGTTTTCTGTTTTTATTTTTTTGGGCTCACAGGCTATTTTCCAGAGAGGTAATTGAGCAAGATTCCCTCTGTTGATGAAAGAGCAATGGAACTGCGATTAAGGTTTTTTTTTTTTTTTGGGGGGGGGGGGGGGGGGAAATGCTATGTAAATGTAAATGTAAATGGAAGCTATATTTGGGACCATACTCGTATTTAAAACCTTATTTTCATTACAGACATCGCGCTCAGTTGACGAACTTTATGTTTGTATTACACGGTTTTTAGCCTTTAGAGCTCTTGAACCATTGTCATTCTTGGCTGCTGGCGGGGGGCGTGTTCATTAGCATGTAATTAGTGCTGTAGGTGGTTGGCACTAATTAAAGGTCATATGTCATGAGTTGGCAATGCTGAGAGACGTTGAATAATTCATGATTTTTAAAGAAATCACACGATTGTCTCTTATTTTATCGCGTTGCGAAGCTTCTCAAAGAATGATGTTCGCTAACAAATATGAACGGACCAGAAAGCTGAACATTTAAAAAAATTTAACATTTTTAAAATTAATTTAAATTTAACTTGACAATTTAAGTGCGAAAACTCAATTTCAACTGAATTCATTTGGTCACGTGCAAGGGAGAGATGACAAAGGCGAGTATGCCTTGCAATCAGAGCAGCCACACGTCAATATGCCCAATTAAATGTTGCAAACAGAGATAACAACTTGCGAAATACTGTATGTTCAGAATTGGATTGAACATAGAAGAGTCATATTTGAGGAAATGAAACGAGTAAAGCATAAATGAATAACATTTGGCAGCACTGTTTTATAAATTCGCTATGGGTGAACAGCATTGACAGCTGAAGCTCTTTGTACTACTGCTGCGGATACATTAGCCGAAATTTCCTGTTTTTTCTTTGATGTGACAGATTCCAAATTCATTGTATATAAATGCGGATGAGCATTGCAAATAGTTTTTGGCATCCTTCCCAGGACGGCTTTCACCCGAATTATCAGATCTTCAAGAGAGAAGGCGCTCGTATCGAAATCTCGGAAAACTCTATATACCTTCCGAAAAGGGGTGTATTTGTCATTTTCAAAAGTACAACCCGCTCCATGGATCAAAGAAATTCCCTCCGAGATTGCAGCTTCGCATTCATTTCGGGGATATTGACAGTGAGTCGCCCTGTAGTTCCAGTTGCACGGGAGGTCCAGGATGACCTCGGGTCTCGCGTGCAGGTACATGCTCATCATCTCTTGCTCCACTAAACCCAGATTCCGCCAATGTTCGCTGTAGATGTCTTCGAGTTTTGACTCGAAGTTGACTTGCCTTAGTTGTGTCAGGTTTAGCAGGAGAACGCCGACATTTATTCCGTATCCTTTGTAGGCAGGAAGCGGAGGGACCCATTGGTTCAAAAGGGCCTGCACAGAATTGCAACTCCCGTTCTCGTATTCCATCGCTGCTCCAATGTACTTAGAGGTTCCCATGACATGGAAATACTCCCACAAGTTCTCAATCGGGCTAAGGAGGATAGAATCGAGATCGACCAAGATGACAGAGTCGACATCATGAAGGATCGAACCGATGAAAATCTTCATCGTGATGCAGGCTTTGAAGAGGCCTTTCCATTTCTCCGTGGAATGCATCGGGTATTGGACTTCTCGGAATTCGATGGATACTCGCGGTGGCAGCATCTTCCTCAGCTTCGCCACAACGCTGCACTTTCCGGTCTGGTCCGCCACTACGACGAGGTGGAATGGTGCCTCCGATGTGAGTAGCATGGATTTCATGAGCGTGAGGAGGAAGTCTGCCTTGTTGCTTCCGCATATCGCAACTGCGATGGTGACGTTTTTCGAGAGACCCTCTTTCGTGGTGGCATTCACGAACGGCTCATCACAAGAACTGGCTTCACCGCCCACTGACAGCAGCTGGTGCTTCCAAAATGCAACCGCGGATGCTGCCAGCAACAGAGAAGTGAGTGTTGGAGCACGCCTTTGAGATATCTGCACACAAGTTGGCATCACTGACGCGAGTATGGAACTCAAACAGCCGGCATGAAGACTCCCTGAACGCTTCAACAAGGTCTTCACAGATTTGTGTCATCATTGGAGGTTGCAAATCTTAAAAAGAAAAATATTTCTCCTTGTTCATCTTGACTTCCTGCCGTATTGACTTTGCAAGATTTACGAAGCATTAGCCAGGAGCGGACCATAACTCTGCAATATCTCGAAAAAAGAGTTATTTCCTAAAGAGGCACACAGTACCTGTGTTCGAGAAGAAAATATATATTGGGGGGGGGAGAATTTACCTAACATGGAGAAAGTTTCCTAAATCATGTAAACCACGGACTACAGCATTACCAAATAACATTTAGGTATTTCCCCATTTTGAAGCTTTTAAGAGTGAAAATGTATTTTGTAGAACATTCCACAAAAAGTGTCATCAGGGGTTTCAGTGGACTCAGGGAAGCAGAATAATCACTTTTCTTGAGAGGGATCGTACTAGATTTTCTCTTGGGCATCGGGGACCTGATGATCGACGAATCGCCCCGGAATTTCAACATGAACGCTTGGAATCCATGCATTCACGGCAGCCAGGCGGGAGGCACTGCAGTGGGCGATGCCAGTGCCCCCTTTCGAGAACCGCGGCAACTTACGTCTCTTTCTACATCCAATAGATGGCGCGACGAGAGATTTTTCCGTGGAAGTTGCCTCCCCCAACTTTCGTGAGGCCGATTTGCAAATTTCATATCGAAAGGGCACATCCTCGGATTAGGAAAAATTCTGTTGAAACCCCAACCTGATATCTCGAAGCGTTTGGCCTGTGGAGCTGTCGCACACAAACACACATTCATCGCCTAGCTAGTGAAACAGGATCGCGCTCGCCTTATCGTAAACCTCCAGTTCGCAACCGAGGTCCTCCGGTTTCAACTACGCGAAAGTTATTCATCCACTGAAAAGGGGGACGCTGATAGTACGATAGTTTCCGTATACGGCTGAAAACAACCGGGTGATTTTCAGGTATTACAACTTTTTCATGCATTCTCTCTGAGCATTAATGAACTTTCCTATTCTCGAAGAAACATGACTCAAAAAGATGATTTTCACTCTAATGTTGGGATACCCGAGAACAAAGCGATTCGTTAACTCTTGGGAAGAGAAAGAAGCGACACCGGGCCAGGGATCTGGACTACGGGAAGGCCGATGGTGGGGCATCAGGTCTTCATCTTCGAGGTCACAGTCTCTTGAACGTGAAGAGGTATGGCGGTTATGTGACCAGTGAAAGAAGCCACCGTTTGCCTTCCCACGCTTCCGGGCCGCTTGACCTCGGTTGGATTCGGTTCACGAGGGAAGAGCCAGACAGTCGATCCGAGCTTTGTCTCTGGGTCAAGCTGACATATCAAGG